AATCTGCGCATATATTCAGAGCATCTATGTACCAAGTTTCATCAAAATCCAATGAGTGGTTCTTTAAATATCAGTGGAACACCCATGGAACCACTAAAAAATAGCCAATTATCATGCAAATTAGGTAATTAATATGCATGGATTTTTACCAAAAACTAATCAAATCTGCGCATATATTCAGAGCATCTATGTACCAAGTTTCATCAAAATCCAATGAGTGGTTCTTTAGATATCAGTGGAACAGTAATAGAACAGCTAAAAATTAGCTAATTATCATGCAAATTAGGTAATTAACGAGCATAGATTTTTACCAAAACCTAATCAAATCTGCACATTGGCCCAGAGCATCTATGCACCAAGTTTCATCAAAAACCGATGTATTGTTCTTGAGATAGCAGTGGAACAGTCGGACACACATACACACACACCCACACACACACACAGACACACTAACTGCAAAGACTCCCATTATGTGCTTCGCACATGGGAGACAAAAATTAAACCAACCAATTATGTCAAAACATGCCTCATGAAAATATTTACTGATCTATACAAGTACATGTATTGTTAGAATGTATTTGTCATTTTACGGTCCAGGTTTATTTGCAGGCAATATCTGTCAGTATTACCTGAGTATTACAACAACAACAACAACAACAACACAGGCAAATACTGAACATTTATTGAAAGCAGGGAGGGGGGGGGGGCATATTACACTGTTCACACTCTCCCAGCCACTCCCAATGATTTCAATTAGAATATGCATGTATGTATGGGAGAATGAGATCCATACACAGGTGTAAACAGGTGTAAAATCATAATTACAAATTCTGTATTCCTTTCAGATTTAGAAATTTATTATCAATTTCAATCGCTGCTCCTCCAAAAGTTCAGAAATATTATACCGTACCCATAATACATGTTGGTTCATCAAATATTCATCACAATGTTACACGCTGAAAACATACTGGCTAAAGAAATACATAGACCCTAGCGAAGATGGTGTATTGTTTTCTCCACATACTATGAGGTTATTACGAGGATACCCTAAAGTATATATGCATGAAGACAGTACAGTGAGAGTATCGACCGACATGCAGCGGAGTGCATACTTTGACATATCTTCGTAATAACCTTATTATTATACATCTTTTCCTTCCAGGAATACATCATGAGAATCCAAAAAGCTTAGAACAGAATCAACAAACTTCTTTGTATGTCAAACCCTGGTGGCAGCCATTTTTGTTTTTATTATTAGAGGACGCTTACGCATGTAATCATTCCATATTTGGAATTCGCATATCCGTATATGGCAAGATGAAAATACCCTGAAAAAAACTGCAAAATTACAACACGCTGTAACTTATGGTGTTATGGTGACAGATGTATGATAATAAACATGTATTTCATCCAGAAAATTTACTTCATATTCATAATTACTCAAACTATGTATAAATTAAAAAATAACAAAGTTGATCTTCCATTTATTAATTAAGGAAAGTTACACAACAATCCTTCTTTAAGTTAGTAGGCAATATTCAGTAATCATTGTTGACTATTCAAAATAACCGGATGTTTTCATCAACATATTAAAATATATACCAGTATGCAGAACATAAAAACATATGCTAATATAGATATATGATATTTATCAGTGTAAGCAACTTTCATCTATTTACTACTTTACTTAATATAGAAAGCTACTGTGTGTGTTTTTTACATATGTACATACATGTAGCACAGGATTAGACAGATATGGCAATAACAATATTATGTGTCAAAATCTGTATGTAATTAATCACTTTAGAAGTGATATTTTTCACTGTGAATCATGTTCAGCAAAACTGTCATATAATATGCACAAAATGAGATCACACTATAGCAGCATGTTCCCTAAACCTCAAAGAAAACAAATTTTGTCATTAAATCCGTAGACTTCCATAGAGTCTATATAAAATCCTCACTAGTTATTTTTTTCACACATGCAAAAATAAAGGAAA